AATTGACTCACCTTACATAAAAATTTGCATTTTACCTAATAAAGATGAGTCCACTCAGTCCATGAATTCACAACCTAATACAAGAATTTATCTATATCTATATCTATCTATAGCTATATCTATCTATCTCTCTATATATTTTTAATGACAAATTAGTAATACAGTTATATCCATCTTATTTTATATTTTTAATTAGCAAATGAACTGCCTAAAAACCCTTACTTTGAATGACAAATTAATACTACACCAATAATCATCTTATATTTTTAATTAATAACTAATATTAGAAGGGCCATACCATCTGTAATGCCTCGTTTTATTATTGAAAATTTAGGAATTATCTATCATTTATTATATTATTCTTATTTGCCTTTATTTGTTGTTGTTATTATTGTTGATTAAATGTTAAATATTATTAAATGTCTAAATGATTTATTTGCCAATTGCGATTAAATGATTAATTATCTAAAAGTTATTTATTTGCCTAAATTGTCTAAGTGTTATTATTTAATTAAAACGTGTAAATGTATTTTTACTAATATTATTATTATTTTAAAAATTAAGTTATGTGCAAGTAAAATATATATATTGCCACATTTATTTATTAAATTTTCCGTTGTCGTCGCGTAATTTTATTCGTCGTCAATCGAATCGATCGGGAAATCGTGTTATCGCGTGGAAATTCTTTCGACCAAATTTATTGGGAATATATTTCGGCCCAATTATATTGGATATTCGGCCTTTTGTTTCTACCCTTTTATTGGATTTTATTTTGGTCCAAATTGATTTATAAATGAGCCCAAAACCATTATTATTCCTGACCCAATTCTTTTATGAATTTTCGGCCCAAGTTGAGATGATTTTCGTGGCCCATCAGAATTCAAGCCTGCCCTTTTATTCTCCCACGTTGGATAATGACCGAGTCTCTCTCCCAGCCACCATGATCTTTCTGTTCCGATCGTTCAGTGAAATCCCCTCTCTCTCGATCGAATCTCTTGTTTAAAATCTGTAGAGAACTCTCGGCCTCTCAGTACTTAGCATCGTCTCTCTACCTCTCGCTTACCATCTCTCCGTTAAAAATAAAATAAAATAAAATAAAAAAAATTGCAACCTTCTTCTCCGGCGATCCCATCTCCGAGCAGACCTACCGTCGCCGACCTCTCAGCGTCATCAGTAGTGCACCGACCCCATCGTCGCGAGCCTTCTTCTTCGCTCAGATCGGCCACCCGCCATTGTTTCCGACGATCTCTCCGGTCAGCCCCGTTCGTCGCGTTCCAGCATTCCCGTTCGCGGTCGACGGCCACGCAGCAGAGTAGTGGTGCCTTCAAGACGTTCCAGCCACGTTTGGTCCGTCTGTTTGCCTTTCCCGAAGAGAGGTAATCGGCTAACTCCTTTGTCTATCTTTGTGCTCGTATACCGCGTTGGTTCTATCGTGCTCGTGGAATCATTTTTTCGTTGATTATTGTTTCGTATTGTTCGTTGTTGTGAATCATGAAATTTCGTGGGTATTGGAACTTTTGTTTTCAAAATCGAACCCCGTATGTCGCTGTGGTTTAATCGTGATGTAATTCGGAGTTTCGGTTATTAGTTTCGGAGTCTCGTTGAATTTTCGGGTCATCTCGTTCGTATGTATGTCATCCGAACATTATGTGTTGTTTCGTTAATTCGGCCCGAAACCTCGATTTTTATAAATGTTCGAGCGCTGAAAATATGTTTATTTAGATAACATTTTAATTTCTCGAATGCCCGGTTGTCGTTGGAAGTGTTGACGACGAGTTTGAGCGAATCTGCAGCCCCTGTTTCACTGCGTTTTATTTTTTATGATTCTGTACGCTGTTTCTTTGTTCTGTCGCCCAGATTTTTCTTTTTCCTTTTGTTAAGTTATTTCGCAGCCCAAAGTTTTAATTTAGAAGCCCAGGACTTCATTTATAAACACAATCAGACTTGTGGTCCAGTGGCGCGCTATACTGTTTCTCGTGCATCAGGTCCCGAATCCAGCAGCCTTTTTCCTTTTTCTCGCCCAGCCCAGGCTGTTCCTAAGGCGCGCGGGCCATTCAGCCAGTCTCCAACCCGCGCACGACCCGCTACCCCGTCAGCTTCTCCAGCCCGTGAAGCCCGGTCCAGGCCCGCGTCCCTTTTTCCCCTAACAGGCCATGTTAATTGGTCCTATTCTAAATCTCAGCAGCAGCCCAAATGTGTGCAGATCTTGGCCAGTGTTTGGCAGCTTAACCCAATTGGCTTTTTAGTCCAAATTTGAGTTCCGGAAGTCGTTTTTAATACCGATTTCACTTTTAAAAATATTTTCAAAATGATAAAAATTTGTAAAAATTATTTTAAGTCCCGAGACTCTAATTTAGTCCTCCGAGTCCTATTTTTCAAAAATGTGAGAGTTCCAAGTCCTCGAAAAATTCCGATAAAAATCCCTTAATCATTATTTTTTATTAAGTGTGGCTTATATGTTAATTCCGAGTAGTGAGATAAAATTTTGATTATTATCTCGCTTAAATGTAGGTGTTTGAGGAGTCGAGCCTCACCGACCTACCGATCTATTGTGTGATTTTTCTACCCGATTACCAGGTGGGTTTTAATTGTGAAATTTGCTATGCCTTTATTAATTGCTTTTGCTGCGGTATGATCAATGTATGCATGTGAACCATGTAGCCTTTGATGTGAGCTATATTGGCCGTCGAACGGTTATCCCCGTAGCTATAGAGCGTACCTTCGGGTAGTCTCCTTTATTATTGTTGGCAGTCAGGGCGTGAGCCTTGGCTGGTGATCCTCGTATGTAAGGCCAAGGCGTAAGTTTTGGCATTCGGGGTGGATTATTGCTACTGCTGGCCGGACACTCATTGTAAGACCTTAGATAAGGCGTTCGGTATATAGTTCGGCAGTAGTCTATTGCTATAGGTGTGCACATGAGACTCATTATTGATTATTGATAGGAGATGGGACTTATTGATTCGTATACATGCTGCGACCATACCTAAAATTGTTTATTGATTATTGAATATTAATTATTGCATAGCAGTGAGCACCTCGATTTTCTTATTGTGCTCATCCCCACCTGCTCCTCATGGATGCAGGTTAGTGTTGCGGGCACGGCGAAGAGTTGCGAGTGGTGGTCTAAATAATTGATATTGCTTCCACCTAGAACTGAATATTGCTATTACTGCTTTCTTTATTATTGATTACTGGATTATTGATAGGGAGTGTACTCCCTAGGATGATTTGATTATTGGATTGCGAATTTGAGTATTGATAATTGAGTATTGATGATTGTTTAAGTATTGGTGAATGATTGAGTACTGAAAATTTGGTTAAGTATTGATAAACCGTTTGAAAATGAGTAACGCCTCAAGTGTTTATTGAAATAAATTTGAAAAATTTACTCTGATTTTTGGCAAATAGAAGTGGGGCGTTACACCCTCTTCACGAGCGAGCACCGAATTCCTCTCTGTGATGGGAGCTCCTCTTCACGAGCACCAAATTCATGTGTTACGCAGCGCTTATTCCCTCGAATGAGGCTTATTAAGTGATTAATTAGGGTTCTTGACTAATTGCATCCTACTATTGCTTCATCTCTTCCCATGGAGGAAGGAGACGATATTGTGCATAAATTAGGAGCCTTCCATCTGTCGGCAAAAGAAGCTAATGTTATTCCCATTAACTCGGAAGACATCCAATTAAGAGCTGAGGAATGCCGAAAAAGTCTCGTGGGCAAAGTCATTGGCCAGAAAAAGGCACATTTAACAGGAATTAAACACACAATTACTCAAATCTGGCAGATAAAGGGATCGGTAGAGGTTCGAGAACTCAGCCCTGATTTCCTCCAATTCGTTTTCTCTTAAATGGAAGAAGATAAACTGAAAGTTGCAAAAGGAATAGGCTGGAGCTTTGAAAATCAGGCACTTATTTTACGAGATTGGGAAGAAGAAATCACTGCGGAGCATCCTAGCTTCAATGAAATGGACATTTGGGTTCAAATTTGGAACATCCCAGTCAACTGGATTACGGAAGAAGTAAGATTCTTGCATCAGTGAACATAACACAACCATTGATGAGATATGCAAGCATAGAGCTGGGATAAAAGAAAATTATTGTAACCTTCAAGTATGAGAAATTAGCCAATGTCTGTTACTACTGTGGCTTCCTGGGACACTTAGACAGAACTTGTGACAAGAGAACTTCTGACATAGCTGCAAGAAAGCTAACCAAAGGCTTGTTTGGTGAATGGATCAGGGCTACAGATCTTCCTACATCAACAAACCAGCTCCACTTCCATGGCAACTCAGATTCTCCCCAAACTCATGCCACTACTAATGGTAAACCATCCTCTGCAACCAGTAATCATCCCTCTACATCTCATCCTCACATAACCTCACCCGTCACAGACAAACTTGAAACTAGCCATACAGTACCACCTAACCACTTCCCCTCAACCAATACTCAGACAACCCACACCGGATCTTCACACCCACCTACCTCCAAAATTTAACCGTCAACCACATCCAAAGAAATTGTTCCAATCCAAATGGATACAGATGATATACTTGTTGCCCTAACCCCCTCCCAACTCTGTCACACTA